TAATAAATATGTATACATCATAAATGTCATTTTTCTGTGATCTAGTGCTTACATTCAGACAAGACAAAAACAATGGCAATTCTTGGCCCATATAGTTGAAGACTGATAGATACGTTGGCTTTGGAACCTGGTTCAGATCTGTGCTAATTAACAATAACATGTTTGATGACTTTTGCCCAGTCATTATCTTTCCACATAATCTATGTTGAAAGGAGGAAAAATAGCCCCAAATACCATGCACTTTCAGAGGAAAGACATAGTACAAATATAAGGCATATATTGCTACATTTTTCTCCTGCAGTTACATGCTGGAATTCATGTCATTTGTTATTTTGCTTTTTTAAAACCTTCCATGCAGTTTTCCATAAATTAAAAAAGTGAACAAAATTGGCTGAAATATCTAAGGTACAATCCTTTTAATGTTAAGTACATTTAATTTCCATTCATACAGAGGAAGATTTAAGCCTTTATTTCCTAAGAAAATTGTTGATCCTTCCTTCCTTCCTTCCTCCCTCCCTCCCTCCCTGAAAAACAAGTACATTTTTCAGGATTTTTAAAAGATTTTTTTTCTTCCCCCCTTTTAAATTACTTCTCTCCCTACAGAATCCCACAACGATGCTAGACACGTATCCTCATGAGAGATTCAGAATGGTGGCTAGGATATCAAATGGTTATTGCTATTAGCCTACTTATAGTATGGGAAAACAGATGAATGAACAAGGGAAAAGGAAAGAGGCTTTTAAGAAAAAAGGAAAGGAAAGAAAACTAGGCTCTTGCATTGCTCACAGCATCTAGTGAAGCCTGGTGAAGTGATCCCATCTCAGTTTCTCTGTGCACAGACAGAGGATTTTGAAAGGCTTGAACTGGGCACAGCAGTGCTGGGTCTTCTCTGTTGCTGTACCTGCTCCCAGCATTCCCCTCAGGATCCAGATGGCCCCAAACCTGTTGGCCTTTCTCAAGGCATTAGACTTGGATGTTCTCTCAGGCATTGCAGCCGGGAGGTGGAGTGAGCCCTGTCAGCTGGTTGTGTAATTATTGTTTCAGTGATGTAGTGGCGTATTGTTTTTTTACTGCATGCCTGTGATATATATTATCATTTTTGGTATCTTGCTCATTGAATTGTGCTATTGTTCTTGGTTTTTATCTTGTTTGCCACCTAGAGTCACTTCAGTGTTTTTAAAATTGTTTTTAAAATATTTTTAAACTGTTTTTAAAAATAAATAAAATTAAATGCCAGACAGTTTGTATAAGAGATTCTTGTGTCCTTGAGACCACCAGTCTTGTACTGGGGTGGGAAGGAACAGGTGAAATTTGGACCTTTGAACCTTTTAAAATAAAATCACTGTGCATGACATTTCTTCTGGCATGCTTCTTGTTTTGTTATAAGAAATCCAAAATGGGAATCTCTGAAATTAAGTGCCTTTCCAGGTGTTTCAAATCATCCTGGGCTTGCTATGGTTGCAATAACTTATTTCTTCTATCTTTTTTACCCTTTCATTTAATAACCCATCCAGGAAGAAAAATGTTTCATCTTCTGTAGATATTGTTAGCTAACAGAAGATACTTAATAATATTCCTAACCTACACTACTCTACCCTATCCCATTCCATCCAAAGGCAGAATGATCTGGATTTGAACCCAAGCAAGATAGATTTGCTGTTTTTGTGTCAGGACTCTCAAGTTAGCCCTAATGTTGTCTATAGATGGCAAAGCACTCAATACCCTCTTTTTTTACAGGTGAATTTCAAATTATAAGCGAAATTTAGGAGTTTTGTATCTCTCTGGTGATGGTAAGATGTAAGTTGGGAGGACTTGCAGAGGAGAATTGGTGGGAGTGTTTAAGTTGATACACCATCCCCAGCTGGACTCCCAACAAAACTTCAAGGCAAAGTGGAGATGGTGAGAAGGCTTTTGCAGGAAACAAACTGTGGTTGGTGTTTTCATGTATGTGTCTTATTACAGTTAGATTAGGGAATAGAACCACAAGATGAAATACCACAGTAATCTGTGTTTGACCTCCAGACACCAACATACAGTGGAGATCCCCTGCAACTTTAATTAGAAGCTTTTTTTCTCACAACTTCTGTTTTTTTAATGAGTGGCTTTCTGATGAGCACAGCAATATATTACTGATGAAGCACTACCCTCCTATTGTGACACTGCAAGGTTTTGCACTATCAGTGTGGAATTTGAAAGCTCATAATAATACCACAGGCATGATTATATGGTATGTATTCAGAAATAAGAGCCATTGAGTTTTCTCTCTCATTTATGACAGTTTTGTTGCTTTTAATAAATCTATTATGCACCTATGGTTCCCAGGACTCTTTCCAGAACTACAATAAGTGATAAATGTCATACACAGCTAATAGCCACTTACAACATTGTCCATTACAGTAATTATATTGGCAGTGCATGTCAGGTCACATATTCCATAAGATTTTTTTCCTTTGGACCAACAAAATTGAATTTGCTCTTTTTATTTTAAGTAACTGTGTGAAAAATGCCACTGTTTTAGTAACCTCACATCACCCATAGGCACATCTGAAAGGGTGTGTGATATTGTTTTGTTATTTTGTCACCCTTTAACTATCTGACGTAAGAGGCTGGGATATGATGGAGTTATCCATTTTAAATTATATGTTTATGGGCTCTCTGTTTGGGTGTGTCTACATATTCTTCCTCCACAAGTAAAACCAGTCCCATGCAGGATAAGGATTGCTTTTGCATTGGAGAAAGCCCCTGTCCTTGATGTATTCGGGGTCCCTCACACAGTTGTTTTTAATCATTATAACAAGATTGACAAGATGGCAGGAAATGCCCAAATTCCACCTAATTGGAGTCTCAAAGGCAGAAACTGACCAGACGTTAGAATTATACAAAGGCTCTCTGTACTCTGAGGAAGAGGCATAATTTGAGCTGATTTTGAAGTACAAGATTCCACTTTGCATTTTTTCCTCAAATCTTTTCTTGTCACTTCAGACCCACTATATGAAGTGAACCTTTTATGCCCTCCTTTTCTCATGTCTTCTAAAGCCTTCTCTGGAGAATGGTGTCCAGAATCAGATATAGAAATCTGGATCAGAGTTGGGTATCTTAGCAACCAGAGATATGGAAAAGTTCAAGGTATAAAGCTGATGCAAAGCCATAAACAGCTGAAGGAGATGTAACTGGGTGCCCACTTGGTCACCCTCCAATATTCTTTTAAGCCTTGCATATAATGTCCCATGTGTGTTACATGACTTCGGAAGTGTTGCTTTTCATATCTGTACAACAGGTAGAAATGCAAGAAATGACAATTTCCTTGAAATGTAGGAAGAGTGTTACTGTCCAATTTCAGCTTACTTGGAAGATTCTGGTTCAGGCAATTTAGCTTGAAAAATGTCAACAAAGTTTAAAAGAACACAGATGACATTATCAAATACCATTGGGGGGTTGTACCTATACGCCATGCATCCATTTCCATCAAGCTATTGAATTATTGCTTACCCTGTAAGCTTTTATCCTATAGCTTTTAAAGACATAGAATAGCTACTGGAGAGGGAAAAAAGAGATATTAATATTCCAATAGAAGAGAATATCTGTAGCTCAGGGTTGAACTATGGAGTCCTTGGTGTTCTCTGAGCTTGGTTGTTTCCTTGCAGACGTTTCATTACCTGACTAGGTTACATCATCAGTGCTGATGATGTTACCTAGTCAGGTAATGAAATGTCGGTAAGCAAACGACCAAGCTCAGAGAGCACCAAGGACTCCACAGATATTAATATGCTTATATTAGAAAACTATCTTTATAATTCTTTCTTTGGCATGGCTTCCCCCCAAATGGCTCACCCAGGTTTGCTGAGCAATGATAAGAGTAGATTAACATGCTGGTAGGAAAAAAAAAATGTATTTACTTCCTGAAATGGATTGTTTTTCCAGAACACTGGATATATGTGGCAGTGCTCCATAAAAACAAATTTATCTCACTTTTTGTTTGCTTGTTTGCATGTTATTAAAAGGTTACATTACAGCCATGAGCCTTTATATTTTAAAAGAAATATTTTACTGCGATAACTGGTCAGCACTATAGTCCATATGTTGGAGAATAATGCTACAATGAAGATAAAATCTCCTTATTTTGCTTTTGAAAACACATCACAGCTGCTCCTTCAGTCATCAAACCTTGCAGCAGTTTTGCCAGGAAGGTTAGCATGTATTATACCCATGGAATAGACTGAAATGCTGGGGGTGATAAAATGGGGGCTTTAGGCAACGCTACAGTTTCTCAACTTCAGCATTCAAGCAATTGTATGGGGATAATAATACCAGAGATAAATTAGGATTTATCATTAGATCCCTGGGTGGGATGCAGGAAACCAACAAACTTTTCGGACTTCTAATAGTGAAAACAAAAGGGCCTTTTTCCTCCTGATCTGATTGATAATATGAAAAAGCTGAGGAAAAGGATTTCAATAAGTGCTCCAACTTCAGTGCCAACCACAATTTTTAGGACTAGGATGTGCTAGCATCTAAAGCAGGAAAGTTACTTCAAATTTGGCATAGGTGCACTCATTGTACCTCTCAGCAGTACCTTAAAGAAGCTCCACCCTTTTCTTGATTTTGAAGGGATGGCTTCTTTGAGGTATCACTGATGGGCAATCACACTTACAGCAAATCCAAAAACATTTCTCTTTGGAGATCTGAATATTGCATATTGGGCTGCAAAAATCCATACAACCACTAGAAGGCAAGAAAGAGACATTTCTATCTTTCCTTGTTGCCATGTGGTAGTCATCCAGCTTTTTGAGATCTAAATGTGCCAGCCCTAATTGTAAATATACCTCTGTCTAGCAGTAGGGAGTAAGGAAGATGACCTTGATTGAGATAGGAGGGAACCTAGGGAAAAGGGGATGAAACATTTTTTAAGTCCACAACAAGATAACATTTGGAAGTGGCTCAGGCAGATGCCTTCCTAATTAACTAAACAATAAGGAGGAGGAGGAGGAGGTACAGAATGATCAGGCTTGCAAGCTTCTGTTATTGTAGCCAGTCACAAAAGTAGCTTTAGCCTTCCTATGGAGTTGATTCCCAGGTCTGGTCTCCCTCATAGGGCTGACAGTTTAGCTGAACTATTGCTTAGCACTTAATTCCAATGATCAATCTCTTGAGTTTTTATAAAGAACAAAGAAGATTTTATCCCTACTTCTAACCATAATGCTAATGATGGGTCACCCCTGCTCTCAGAAATACCATTAACAGTTCTGTTTAGTTATTCTGTTTAGTGGGAAAAGTTATGTTAGTAGAGTACCTTGCTTCAGAAAGACATCACAGGACTGGTTATTACTATAAAACACCTTAATTTATGAATTATCCTTTTTTAAAAAATTATTATTAAACATGAGTCTCTGCCAGGGGATTTCAGAAGATAGAGGGATCCTGTTCCCAGTCACTATAAACAGCTGATGTTGACTATGTTGGGCTTCTCACAACTTATGGGCTCTTCAGGAACTGGCTTGTGTTCGCTGCCTCTTCCTGGTTCACTGGCAGGTTCACATTCCTGCTGCCCTCCCTTGCCATTTTGGGTAATCTTGCTGATCTCCTTTACTTTAGCCAACATTTCCTCTTCTTCTTCTTCCTCCTCCTCCTCCTCCTCTTCCTCTTCCATATTATCTGCGGTTGTTGCCATGGCTACTTCTTGGTTCTGCACTCGACGGGAGGGTCTCAAGATGGCTCTGCGAAAGCCTTGCTTGAACCGGTAGGAGAGGAAGCCATAGATGATAGGATTGGTGCAACTGTTGGCATAGGGCAGGACAACAACCAGAAAGTAAATACCAAAGAGTGATGGCTCCTCAGGCAAAGTCCAGATGACATTGATGATGTTGAGCATATAGAAAGGCAGCCAACAGAGTACAAAGACTGCTACCACAATTACTACCATGCGTGTGACCCTCCGTTCAGAGCGTTTGCGTTTAGCTGTCAGTGCTCGCACCTTTCTGCCTGATGAACGAACCTTGACAACAATAAGCAGGTAACACAAGCAGATAACCAGCAGTGGCCCAAAGAAGCCAAGTGTAGCTGTGTAGATGATGAAACCAGCTTTCCATACTGAAGCAGGCTCAGGCCATTTAATGTGGCACGTACTCATGCCATGAGGGACTTCTGAAAACACTACCACAGGCAGCACCACCACAGATGAGAGTACCCATACAGTGGCACTGACAGTCTTAGCCACACGGACTGTCCGCCATTTTGAGGATTTCCCAGGGTGCACCACAGCCAGATAGCGGTCAACGCTCATTACAGTGAGGCAGAAAATACTAGTAAACTGGTTTATGGCATCCACAGCCATTACTAGGCGGCACATGAATGAGCCAAAAGGCCAATATGATAAAGCATTTTGTGCTGCCAAGAAGGGTAGGCCAAGCATAAAGAGTTCATCTGCCAGTGCCAAGTTGAAGATGTAGATATTAGTCACTGATTCACTCACTGAATGGCACAAAACCACATAAATGACTAGAGAATTTCCAGCTAGTCCTATGACACAGACAATGAGATATACCAGGGGAATAAGGACACCACTAATATCCAGGCCCAGACTAGAAGCTAGGGATAAATTTCCAGAAAGAAAGGCTGTTCCAGAGGTGGTTGAATTCTCTTCCCAAGCAGCCACTGTGGTGGTGAAGTTGAAATTGTCCATGGCAGAAGAGGGAGGGGCAGGACAGAATTATCCACAGGATCCCTTTGGAGGACTCTGTATTTAGGAAGAACAGAAATAGATAGTTTATCATTCACATTATAATCCATTCTAGATAGCCAATATGTAGCTCTGCAGGTCTTCCACTTAAGATATGGAATAGCAAGTGGTTGCCAGTGAAATCTCATGACTACAGGCTAAGATTGTCTATATATCTCTGTTGCTTCTAATGTTGGCCATAGTGGAGTAGATTTATCTTACAGCAACTCCTATCCCTGAGTTAAGGCACAACTAAGAACTGGAAGCAACAGTAAATTTTCAGAGAAGATGGATGGAATAAAGGAAAAAAGAAATTTGCCATGTTCAAAAGATTTCTTGAAAAAACAGGGCAATCTTTATCTTCAGGACATCACAAGAGAGAAGATTGTTGTGTATTATGAGAGTGGGCATTGAACAGAACATGGGAACAACATGAAATCCTATCAAATGGCCAGAATAAGGCCCAGACTCTGGTGCCATACTTGATAAAAATGGGGCTGAACAGCCACAACTCACAGATGGGAATCTAATGCACATTGAGACATATTCTTCAACCAACCCAGTCACCCTGAATTGTCAAAATTATTCACTCTAAAGGCAAATTAGGCCCAGGAGCTCATTCCTGACACATACTTTTCAGGGAAAAGCTCAAAATGGTGTCTCTAAGAAGAGTAAGTCCATTCAGCTAGATATTTAATTGATGCTAGTATAGTCATAGAGAGCCAGTCTGATGTAGTGGTTAAAGGCTCTGGGCTACAGACCAGGAGGCTGTGAGTTCTAGTTTTTTCTTAGGCACAAAACCAGATGGGTGACTCTGAGCCAGTTACTCTCTCTCAGTTCTAAGACGGAGGGGATGGCAAACCACTTCTGAACACAACTTTTTTCAACTTGAGGGCCATATTTGGCCTTAGGTAATCTACCAAGAGACACATCCCAAAATGTCTATAAGGTAATGACTAAGAAGTGGATGTTCAGGGCAAAAACGAAATATGGGTGGGTCAGAGCAAAAATAAAACAACATTTTCCAAAGAGCATTTAAATGCATTTAAATTGCATTTATTTAATTGATTACTTCCCATGTACTTAATAAAGTCCTCTTACTTTATTGTCAGTGACAATTTTGAAGGAACTCTTGGAATAACACCCACGTTTTTTGAGGGCTGCATGCAATGCCGGTTCTCCAATTATATAGCAGTCATATCTCCTGCTAAGCCTATTTTATTTTTAAAAAAAGTTAAAGAAAATAATGACTATAGCTGATTGGAGGAAATGGAAAGCTTTGCTATGCTGTGGTGTGTCCAGTCCCTGGAAAACAAAGAACCCTTACAAGTGGTGGTAACAGTGGGATCCAGGACTATGGCGGGATCCAGGACTGTGGCGGGATCCAGGACTGCAGAAGGTGACCAAGGCACGCTGAGAGTTGTGTGAGAAGGAGGCTAAGCGGGAATCAATGTTTGTTGCCTACTTATTAATACCCTGGTGCTACAAGCACATCCTCAAACTCGAGCTTATTCAAGGCTCCAGCAAACAGAGGAAGAAAAGGCAAAGATGGCTGCTGAGGAGCAAATGGAAGAACCTGCACAACCAGTGGCATGATGGGAACCAGTCATTTTTATACCGGAAGGATCCAAGACGGCAGGCAAGAGGGCTAGGATGCTTGTGAGTAGTCAGGGAAACAAGGTAAATGGGGGGAGAAGTGTTTCTGGGGAACTTTGACCTTATAAAAAGTGGGGAACTTTGACCTGCTAAAAGGGGGGAGGAATGTGAGGGAGTGAAGTTGGAGTTGCTGCCTGTGCTTTGGAAAAGTAAGCTGCAGCCAGGCAGACGCACTTCTCACTCCAATTCCCTTGTTTCCCTGACTATTCACAAGGATCCAGGCCAGCTTTCCAGTTGCCTGTGATAATGAGCCACACCCTGGCGTTTTCAAGGATGTGCCGACGTCCAGAAGCAGCCCCAGCCTCACCTAGGATCTTAGCTTAGAAAAGCAAACTCCAAGAGAGGGTCATGGGAAGAAAAGGAAAGAGAAAGATTTGCAAAAAAAGAGAAAGCAATGTGAGAGAGTGTGGTTGGATCGCAGTGCAGTCCTGGATCCCACTTCTGCCACCACTTGTGAGAATTCTTTGTTTTCTAGGAATGTGACGGAGTGAAGCTGGAGTTGCTGGCGTTTTCAAGGATGTGCCTGGCATTTTGCTCAGCTGTGTATGTCCAGTCCCTGGATACAAAAAACCCTCACAAGTGAGTTGGATATAAAGCTTACTATAG